CACTAATGTGTGTGTTAATAGCAGGTCTGCCTGAAAGGCCTGTTCATCCTTAACCAAGGACAAAGCTGCTGGTCAGAATAAAGCGAAATTCCACTGCACATAAACCTCCCATTCATTTCCGATATATATAACTTCAGTCTTTCCAGGCTTGACTGAGAAATTTCTAGTTACTGGCTGAGCTAACATTCATTTTGTCTCATTGCTCTCCCTATTTAGCAGTTCAACAGCAAAAAGGGACCCAGAGAAAGCCTTTCCGAGTCAGGTGCTCTGTATGCTGTTTGTGAGGAGAGCTCGGTGGATTGTGCAGGTATCCTAGCCCAAACTCAGAGCAGCAGCACGGCTGCCAACCAGCCCGAGGCTCACGTGCTGCCCGAGGGTCCCAGACACAAATCCTCCTTTCAGTCCCTCCAGCCCAGTGTTCACCTGTGCCTGTGGCTCTTCGGGTTCCCACAGAGAAGATCTGGACATGCATAGGACAGATTGGTTTCCAAGATCAAGCGCTTTTAATTTTGTATAACTGTTATCACTTATTTTCCACCTCCATTCACGTCCCGATGGCTGGAACAAAGCACCGTGTTTGCCTGCAGCCTCGTGAAACATGAGCTTTGGTACAGGATAATCCTTACACACGTGGAAGCACTCATCATATAGCAGTGCCCTGCTATCTGTTACTTCTCCGTACATCGTTTAGGAGCTCTGTAACTGCCTGATGCTCCTCTAACCATTGCCATTACCCCATTTTCTGACCTTCCTACTCATCCGATGCGATTAACTAATTTGAGGACTATGATGACGAGATGTAAATACTCAGAAAGAGGCAGCGAGAAGACCTGCACTGGAAGATTCACAGTCCAAGACGGGGAGTCTGAGATCTTCTGGAAAGGTAACCTGCTCTGAAGAGCCAGGCTCCTAAAAGCCAGCACCTTCTCTGGTTGACAATTTTGACGCTGCTGCTCCTGCCCCCTCCATCTTCCACATCACGCCTCCTGTCCCCAGGTATATAAGGCATGATTTCTGAAGTCTCCCCATACAACCCCTCCTTACATTCATCCCTACAGGAAAAATTGCTTCACTCTTCCTTGCACCAGGTCACCATCACACTTTTCAGGAACACAACCTCAAAACAGGCAGCAGATTATGGACATACACGCCACAGTCTCTACACCTCCCGTTCTTTGACTATCACTCATTTTAGGAACCAGATGCCAATTATCCTTATTGGCATTCAAATCCTGTACTGGGGGTTTCCACAAGGATGATACCCTCGGCCCCATCATCCTACACATGGCTGTTGGGGTGATGAAGGGAGTCACTCTCTCCCAAGAGACAATCCACAACTCTTTTGGGATAAGGGACACAGTTATCCTAAAAGCTCTTCAGTTCAGGTCTCTGCTTATAGCACAGCCTCTGCTCCAAACTGCCTTGGAGCCTCTCTCCACCCTGTTTTCTCACTGCAGTTAAGCGCAACTGTGACTTAACTCATGGTTTCAAAATTACTTTCTTTGTACCTCACACCACCCTCTCTCACACATCCGTTTTCTACACTTCAGACGAAAGGCTTGCATTTCCTAGTCATTGTATTACGAGGTTTTAATGCATAAAGGGCCATGACAAGCTGTCAGCTGAACAAGGCACTTGAAAAATGCCAGCTCCCCAGTTTGTGCAGCAAGGAAAAACAAGTCCCCAGCAGCAGATGAAGAGAGCATGTAGCTGAGAATGCGGTCTGGAGAATTACAAACATCTGGCTGCTTCTTCTAACAGTCTTTGAGCCAAAAGGACAGAAAACTGAACAACATCAGCAACTGCTCCACAACACGAGCAACAACACGTCTCTGCTCAGCTTTCCTGGCACGGCCTAATGAGACAGGTTACTGAACAGCAGAGAACACGTGTCTTGAATCGCTCTGCGACGCCTGAGCGAGACAGCGCGCAGGAGTTCAGCCCTACCGGCTTTTCACTGCCTTTAAGTTATTATACCAAGACATCAGGCCATGGGAGAGACTTTAAATAAGCCTAAAACTATATCAGAAAACTCTGTCACACCAGCCTCCCTGCTCCTACCTCACTACCAGCGTGTGGAGCAGGCAGGGGACAGCGCTGTCTGGGGGGACACAAGGCACGAACAGGGTGTTGCGTGGCCGGCGCTGCCCTCTCCCGGGTGCAGCCCACAGTGCTCAGCCCAATGTGCTCACAGCACACACGCTGCAAGTTCCCTGCCCACACCGAGCTGTGGGGTGACACTGGAGGGCAGGGATGCCATCCACAGGGACCTGGGCAGGCTGGAGAGGTGGGACCGTGTGAACCTCATGGAGTTCAACAAAGCCAAGGGCAAGGTCCTGCCCGTGGGTCGGGGCAATCCCAGGCACAAATCCAGGCTGGGCGAGGAGGGGATGCAGAGCAGCCCCAAGGAGAGGGACTTGGGGGGGTTGGTGGGGGGAAAACTGCCTGTGAGCCAGCACCGTGTGCTCACAGCCCAGAACCCACCCGTGCCCTGGGCTGCAGCCAGAGCAGGGGGGGCAGCAGGGCCAGGGAGGGGATTCTCCCCCTCTGCTCCGCTCTGGGGAGACCCCCCTGCAGTGCTGGGGCCAGCTCGGGGGCCCCCAACAGCAGAAGGACACGGAGCTGCTTGAGCAGGGCCAGAGGAGGCCACGAAGATGCTGGGGGGGCTGGAGCAGCTCCCCTGGGAGGCCGGGCTGAGAGAGTTGGAGGGGTTCAGCCTGGAGAAGAGAAGGCTCCGGGGAGACCTTCGAGTGGCCTCCCAGGGCTTAAAGGGGGGACAGAAAAGGTGGGGAGGGACTCTTGATCAGGGGTGTAGGGATAGGATGCGGGATGATGGTTTTAAACTGAAAGAGGGCAGATTTGGGTGAGATCTAAGGCAGAAATTCTTCCCTGTGCGGGGGGGGAGGCGCTGGCCCAGGGTGCCCAGAGCAGCTGTGGCTGCCCCCTCCCTGGAAGGGTTCAAGGGCAGGTTGGACCGGGCTGGGAGCACCCTGGGCTGGGGGAAGGGGTCCCTGCCCGGGGCAGGGAGTGGGACTGAGAGGGGTTTAAGGTCCCTTCCAACCCAAAGTCCTCTAGGAATGTCACACTCCTGCCCTGCTAAGACAGACTTTGGGCTTTACCCCTTGCAGGTGGCAAGAGCAAGAGCCCCAAAGGTAACCCTGTTCATGCCTCCTCTGTCAGCTCTGCAGCAGCTCTGGAGCTCCTGGGCTGCAGAAGTTTGTTCTAAGGCAGAGGCTGAAGCCACCCACAGCAGGGAGAAAGTCAGTAGTTTTCCCAGTCTTCTCCCCAAGCCTGGATGCTTCTTTGAGCCAAAAGGATGAAGGTACATGCCAGGCAGAGGTAGGCAGGTTGCTCCAAACACCGAGGGTGCTGCAGGGGGGAGGCAGCTCCCCAGTGACTGGACTGGTAGGAAAGAGCACAGAAACAAAGGGAGAGGCTGCAGACGTACAGCACAGCTGGCCTGTGTACAGCCACCAGCCCTCCCCAAATCAGGGGCAGCACAGAGCATCCCTCTTGCTGCTCTGCCTGACCAGGCTCACAAATCACCCAGACATCCCTAAGTAGCAGCTTCCTGCAATTACAAGCAGCAGAGCACATGTGCCAATTAGCTGCACACCAATATCCTCTTTGGTCCTTGATTTAAGCCAGATCTCGGCCCCGGGGTGCAGCAGAGCCAGGCTGTTTCCTCTGAGATCCTGGGGAGTGGAAGGAGCATCCCCTGGCTGCAGGCCTGGAGGGTTCTCCTGCCCTGCCACAGGAGGACGCAGGGAGAGCAGCTCGCAGCACTGAGCTCCCTGGATGCCTGCACTGGCTGGGAGATCTCAGCCAGAGGGAAACATCAGGTGTGGTGAACACAGGAGAGCAGCGGTGTCTCTGCTCCCCTCCTGTGCAAGCTGCCAGGGTACCAAAACAATTTTAATTCTGTACTGGTTGTGGGCAGCGTTTGGGGCATGGGAGACCTCATCACCACTGGGTTACTGGGAAAGACCAGGCAGGACAGCCAAGCTCTGCTGGACAAGCAGCTCCACCTGGTTCTCAGACAGTTCTCCTCAGCCTGTGTTTTCAGGACATTTGTTTCCCCACCACAGCTCCAGACTAAGTCCCTGGCACATGCTGAAGATGAGATCAGCGCTGGCCTGCCAGCAGACATATTTTGTTAATGCAGCACCACTGCTCACAAACCATCCTGGGAACGGATCGAGGCAACCCAAGTCCCTCCCCAGAGCTAAGGTCACGGGAGGAACCGAGTGGGCAGAGAGCAAAAGTGCCTCTTGGGGACTGCTCACACGTTCCAACCCGAGAAACACACTTGTTTGTCAACACCCCAGGGAATTTAACGCTGCTAGACAGCTCCCGAATGATGCCACAGCACAACCCCAACAGAGGCAGGCACAGCCAACAGCAACAAGAGCTGGAGGCATATTGTCTGTGGGACAGGAGCACAGGGACAGCTCTGGAGATGCTCCGCTCCCTAACGGGCACGTGCTTGGTCACCCAACCAGCCACTTCCCTGCCAGATCAGCTTGGGTGGCACAGCCAGACCTGAGCTCTCTCCTGTGCTCCTGGTGGGACACAAGCCCCTGTCCAGGCTGGAGAGGAGCCCACAAAGGCTGTCTGTTCAGAGACAAACCCCCACAAACGAGGCTCTGCAGCTTCTGGCCTGGAGGTGTACATCTGCACCATGCTGCATGGCAGGGCCTCATGCTCTGTCCCCTCCCAGCACAGGGATCTGCAATCCACCTTCCACTTCACAGGTAACTGTGTTCACCGTCCCTTCCAACCCGCTCTGGATCCAAGACGGTGAGGTGAGCACCCCAAGGGGTGTGGGAGCAGCCAGCACCCGCCGCTCTACCCCAGGAGCTGTGCCTTGGGATGCCCACCCCAACACGGACAAGCGCCAAGCCACAGCGAGTGACAAGGATGAGCCCACCCTCCCCCGAGCGCTGACAGAGCCTTCCTGCCCTCCCAGCACTGCTCTCTCACACCTCTCTAAAGCTCACCTGTTGACTTCTGAAACGTTGTTGATCCTTGCAGCTTCCAGCAGAGCATCTTCTGAAAACAGAGAAAGAAGGGAAAACCAGTTAGCAGCAAAACACACACACGCGCACGTAATAACCCAGAGGTGGCACAGGCCACTGCAGCAGAGAAGGCAGGGCCTGTGCTTACAGCTCATTTCAAACACCACAGGTGAGGAAGGATCTATTTCTGCGAGCAGGTTACTCCAAAATCCCCTTCCTCGCTTGCTGCCTTTACCACAGCCTCCCTTCGAGCCCCGGTGCTAGGCTCTGTGGAAGGCAGGACTGAACAGCAGTTCTCAAAACACAGCCACAAGCCGACACATGGGAACCTGTGTGCAAGATGAAGCCCTGGCCTGGCTGCACAAGTCCCTTCCTTGCCTCTCCAAGCCCAAACGCAGATGTTCAGCCAGCTGAAACAGCAGCTTCTTGCATGCCACATCGTTAAAATGAGAGATCCCTGGGGCAGCAACTCAGCAGATGCAGTCAGGGATGTGAACTGCTCCTCCTCTGGGGACCGGTCTCTCCCAGCTTGCCAGAGATCACCTGCATCTGCAGGAAAATAACTCTGCTTACAACCAGGGGCTTGGAAGGTGCCACGGGATGGGCCTGGCAAAAGGCTGGAGCGGAGGGGAGAGGCCCTGCTGGGGCACCCGGGGCTGGGGGCGAGCCAGCAGCGGCTCCAGCAAGGAACCAACTGCGTCAACAACTGGAGAAACAAAGACTTCTCCTGTGTGGGCAAAGCAAACCCTGCAAACTGCAGGCTCTGGGGTGCAGCAGGCGTAGTGGGGCAGCTGGCACTGGGACAGTCACAGCCTCAGCCAGAGGTTTCCAGACACCACGTGAAGGCCAGCCAGTTCCTATCACAGGCACAGAATGACACCTCCTGGCTAGAGGGGGTAAGGACAGCACCCCAGCTCTCACAGATCCACAGAGCTGCTGGAGCAGGAGTTGTTCAAAACCAGTGCAGCCAGCAGAGCTGTACTGGGGCATTTGGGAAGCTGGGACAATTCTCCCCAATTCTTACCAGCCTTCAGGTGCTTCCTGCTCTCTCCCCAACATTTTGTGCTGCCTCCTTTCTCTTCTCCAAGTCATTTGTGTCTGTGGCTCAGCCTTCTGCCTTGCATCTTTAACCCGTCTTCCTAGAGAGCAGCCCTGCCCTGTGCGCCCCATCCCCTGGTCCAGGGGTGAGGGTCCCTCTCTCGGGGTACGAACACACAGCCACAACCGAACAGAGGATCACGGCTCACCCCAGCAGCCAGCTTTCTGCAGAGCTTCGAGCCGCACCGCAAACCTCAACGTTTCCTTCGCTGTCCTGAAAGTAACAGCACTCAGTGTGCTGCAGGGAGCTATTCTGGCTAACGGATGTCATTGGTGCCTCCAAACTAAAAGCTTTCCAGCACAAATTGCTTGTGGTCTTCCTAGGAAAGCTGAGATCAGTGGGCACTGCGGGTTTACGTGGGCAGTGTGCTGTCTCAAGGACAATTCACCAGGCTGAGTGTGTCAGAGGGGAGCAGGGGACGTGTTTATGTGTCCCCCCCAGGGGATGGCAGCTGCTCGCTGTCCTGAGTACCATGGGTGAGCACCGGCAGGACAGGGCACTCAGCCCTGCCCCAGACACGGGGTAAACTCCCAGCAGTTGGGGACAAATGACCTTTGGTGTCCAAGTCACTGAGAGTTCAGCCACCACAGCCTAGACTCAGGCCCAGCACAGCTGCCTCTTCCCAGTCATGGAACCCCAGACTGGTTTGGGTGGGAAGGGACCTTAAAGCCCACCCAGTGCCACCCCCTGCCCCGGGCAGGGACACCTTCCCCCAGCTCAGGGTGCTCCCAGCCCCGTCCAACCTGCCCTTGAACCCTTCCAGGGACGGGGCAGCCACAGATTCTCTGGGCACCCTGGGCCAGTCCCTCACCGCCTGCACAGGGAAGAATTTCTGCCTTAGATCTCACCCAAATCTGCCCTCTTTCAGTTTAAAACCATCATCCCGCATCCTATCCCTACACCCCTGATCAAGAGTCCCTCGCCACCTTTCCTGTCCCCCCTTTAAGCCCTGGGAGGCCGCTCAAAGGTCTCCCCGGAGCCTTCTCTTCTCCAGGCTGAACCCCCCCAACTCTCTCAGCCCGGCCTCCCAGGGGAGCTGCTCCAGCCCCCCGAGCATCTTTGTGGCCTCCTCTGGCCCTGCTCGAGCAGCTACGTGTCTGTCATGTGCTGAGGACCCCAGAGCTGGACACAGTACCTGGTAAAGAACAACATGGGGCTTCCCCAACCCTCCCCATAAAGCAAGAGTGAGGGGCAGGCTCTCTGAAATGTGCCCCAGCTCAGCAAGGGTCCCCTGAGCTCTCTGGACCTAACCTTCTGCAGCCACATCCCCACATCCCTCCCCTGTCTGGGAAACCATCCTGCCTGCTTCCCGTACCCTCCCTGCCACCCTGGCTGGGGGGTTTGGGGCTCTTGTGGCTCTGTCCCCTCTGCCTGCAGCCACAGCCAGGTGGCTGCCCAGCTCTAAACACTAACCAGTCTGCAAACCAGCTCCTGCAACAAAGCCAGGCCTTGGTCTCACAGACCTTTCCTGAGTACTAATTACACACAACTCTCTGTAATGACAGTGAAACCTCCTGAGTAACCAACCTGGCAGCCAGCGCAGCAGTTGCTGCGTTATTCACAGGGAAACCAACCTCTGACCTGCCTGAAACTACTGAGTAAGTGTCCTGCTCTGAAGTCACTCCCGCCCCAGGCCTGTGTCACACCAGCTCGTCACCAACAAGCCCAAACCCGCGAGCACCAAGTGCCGGTTCACGAGGAAGGCACCGCAGCGAGCAGGGAAGATCCCTCTCATGCACACACCATCTCCTCTTCTGGAGCTTGTACTGATCCCGGAGCCTGAAGGGCTGAAGGCTGATATGCAGTGTGCCTGGCACACAGCAGAGCAGCAAACATCTCAGCTCCAACACCACTTTGTCCAGTGACACCAACGAGGCCGCTCCATCTCCTGTCCCGCGGCAGGAAAGCCGAGTGACAACAACCGGGGGCGGAGAGGCCAAGCTCAGGACTGTACCCCCAATACTCCTGAAGAGGAAAGACATTCTCAGCTTCTCTCCCAAACACAAAACACTGCATGAGTGCCAAAAATGGGACTTGCTGTGGCGCAAACCTAGTTACACATCAACCTAAAAGCAGGCAGCTTGCCTCAGCAGCTCACGGGGACGATCCCGTGTGCTTCAGCTCAAACGCACACATCAGCCTTTCTACACCCAAACCTAACACTGCAGCAACAGGGCTTGTGGCCACCCACCAACTGCTTACTTCCCACAGCGGGGTGGACTCTGAGAAACCTTGGGCTTATCAGGGTAGTCACTTAATCCCTTCCCAACTCCAAAACCTTTGTACTTGCCCAAAATATCCTATGTTCAAAGCAGAGGAGTGGGGAGAGGCTGTCCTGGGGACAACATGCACTCTGCCAGCTCAAACCCTCCCCTGCCTGCCTTAGGGACCCGGAGCCAGGTCCTCTTCCAGCACATATCACAAAACCCGTCCGCAGAGACCAGCTGGGGTGCAGCCAACAAGAGCACTGGCTATTTTATCTCAGTGGCAAACGTGAGGCTCGTTATCTTCACACTACAGAAGAATTTGGGTGTCCATCACGGACCAGGACACCTCTGGGCTAGGGATCACAGACACCACTGTCCCTGGAGGGGCAGCGGCAGCAAGCAGGCTCCATCTCCAGGGAGCTCCCCCCACACCCCCCTCCCTGAGGGGCACAAGCTCCTCTGTTCCACATCAAGCTCCCAGTTCCCACCCCGGGGGCTGGGGACAGCGAGCAGCAATAATCACCCTTGGACAAGTGGTCCCTCATGTAGCAGTACGCCAGCGCAGCGATGAGGGCAGGCACCGCAGCTCCCGGGGGGCAGCTCCCGTCTCCGCTCCGATGCCCACTGGGGTCTCCTCTGCGACGGCAGCGTCGCTCAGCACCCGAGGGCCGTGGTGCTGGCTCTCCAAGGGGCACCGCGAGGCCGGACAGCCCCAGCACAGGACAACCTGCGCCAGCCAGGCCGGTGCTGCGTGGTCTGGGGGTCTGCAGCTGGGTCAGCTCTGGGACCTGCAGCCCCTCCGCCATGGGGGCCCCCTTTAGGCCTGGGCCCAGATCTATGGGGGTGTTCCCTGGGTCTGGCTCCACTGCTAATGGGGACCTCCCCACTGCTAGGGGGGTACCCCCTGGGCCTGGCCCTATTGCTAAGGGGGAGCCCCCGGGGTCTGGCCCCATTGCTAAGGGGGAGCCCCCAGGGTCTGGCCCCATTGCTAAGGGGGAGCCCCCAGGGTCTGGCCCCATTGCTAAGGGGGAGCCCCCAGGGTCTGGCCCCATTGCTAAGGGGGAGCCCCCAGGGTCTGGCCCCATTGCTAAGGGGGAGCTCCCCAGGCCTGGCCCCACTGCTAGGGGTGAGCCCCTCAGGCCCAACCCCATTGCTAGTGGGGTACCCCCGGGGCCTGGCCCCATTGCTAAGGGGGAGCCCCCCAGGCCTGGCCCCACTGTTAGGGGGGAGCTCCTCCGGCCTGGCCTCATTGCTAAGGGGGTACCCCCAGGGATAGGCCCCAGTTCTATGGGAGAGCTCTCCAGGCCCGGCCCCATTGCTAAGGGAGAGCCCCCCGGACCCAGCCCCGTTGCTAGTGGGGTACCCCCGGCGCTTGGCCCCAATTCTAAGGGGGAGCTCCCCAGGCCCGGCCCCACAGCTAGGGGGGAGCCCCGGGGGTCTGACCCCGTTGCTAGGGGGCAGCCCCCCGTTGCTAAGGGGGAGCCCCCCGGGCCCGGGCCCGTCCCCGTTCCCGGGGGTCGCCCCCCCCCGGGCCCGCCCCGCCATGGCCGCCCCGCGCTGGGCGGCAGGGGCTCGCGGCTCCCCCTGGCGGACGGAGGCGGGAGCGGCCGCAGCCCAGCGGTCCCAGCCCCTTCAGCCACCCCCGGAGTCCCGTAGGTCGCCCGCGACGGCGACAACCGCGCCCGGAGGAGCCGCACCAGCCCCGGTGGTGGCGGGCGGGACGCCAGAGAGACCAGCATCGTCCCCGGGATAACGCCGCTCCGCACGTTTATCCCCCCGCCCCCCCCCCCCCCCTTTCTGCTGCCACCGCTGAGGAGGCCGGCGAACCAAGATGGCGGCTGCCGGCTGCCCGGCGCGGTCTGGGTGGGGGGCGGCGCAAAGCCTGATGGGAGTTATAGTCCCCGCTGCGCCCTGCGCGGCGCTGCCACCGCTGCAGCGGACTACAGCCCCCAGGGGGCGGCGCGGCCCCGCCCGCCTGCCCGCGGCATGCTGGGAAGGAGCGCTGACTCCTGCCCTTGCGTGGCGGCGGGGGGGGGGGGGGCGGAGCCTCAGCGCTGAGGGACCAGGGTTCGAGACTTGCTTGGGCCCGCCCTGGCAGACACGCGCGCTTGCACACGCGTGTGCGCGCACACGCGGCCGGCCCCGCGGGAGCCCATTGCACCCCCCCACACCCCCCCCCCGTGCACCCCGGGGGAGAGCAGCGCTCGGGATGGGAAATCGGGGAGCAAATACCGCGGGGAGGCTCAGCGTGGGGGGGTTTGCACGCCCAGGTGGACTCGGTGCTGCTGACACGGAAGCTACATACGTGTGCATGAATCTCGGCTGTGCGTGCACATGCGTGCCTGTGAGTGTATGTGCATGCCTCTTTCATGCACAGGGGCAACGTGTGTGCACGCATGGACGCGCGTGTGCATGCACGTGTGCGTGTCCTGGCGGGAGGCACCGAGCAACCCGCTGCCGGCCTGGTGCCGTTTTAATTACCAGGGCTTTGCTGACATGAGGGACCCAGGGACGGCTCCAGCAAACCCCTCACCACCCTCAGACATCCCCAAAAAGCATCAAGTTGCCCCCCAAAACCCCCCCAGGCCCTTCAGCTGCTCACCGGCGACGATCCAGGACCCTTCCCCACCATCCCACGGAGCTGCTCCCCAGGACAAACAGTAAAATCGCCTCCCCGCGCTAGAAAAGCTTCTTGGTAGACGATAAAAATGCATCTAACGGGATGCTTGAGAGAAGGAAAATGCAGAATCGTGTGGTTTAGGGGTGAGGTGAGAGGTGAGCGGCGCGGGGGGCTGCGCTGGGAGACGGGCTCCCCGCGAGGGCGAAGGAAACAGGTGCTTCCACGCCCATGCGCTGCTCAGGGAGGCTTTTTTCTCAAATCTCAAGTGTCCGGCACCAAAAGGAGCGTGAGGCCGGCGGGCAGGCTGCTGCCCCAGTTTCGCTCCTCCGGGCCCATCAATATTTCAGAGCTGGAGGAATTCGTGCTGTCTCTCACCCCGGCTTACAGCTCCCCGGAGGAAAACGGGGATTTCTGCTTCGTTATTTGGTGAAAAAACACTATTAAACGCGGCCATGTGCAGGGGGAAGGAGCTGCGGCTGCCCGGAGCCCTGGGCCAAACTCGGATTGGGGAGGGGGGGGTGGTCCGCCAATGCTCCCCATTTCCCCATTATTCCAGCAGCCGCTTGCACAGTTGGACGTTACGTGCCATTGCTTTGGCATTTGAATGATGGGCTCAGGCAAGCTCGGGGCCTGCCACGGCTTCTGGGTGGTGAAACTGGGTTGAAAAGTTGCATTTTAGCAAGGAAAAGTTGACAAAAATTTTTTGAGAGGAATTGGCTTTACTTCACGCATTATTAACTAGCTGTTTTCTGCTCAGCAGCACCTGGAGAAGAGCTGGATGCGGAGTTGGGTGCTGCTGGGCCGAGCCATGCTGAGCCATGTGGAGCTGTGCCAAGCCATGTGGAGCCATGCTGAGCCATGTCGAGCCATGTTGAGCCGTAGAAGACGTGCTGAGCCATGCCAAGCCATGCCAAGCCCTGCTGAGCTGTGTCGAGCCATGCCAAGCCATGTTGAGCCATGCCGAACTGTGCTGAGCAGCGCCAAGCCGTGCTGAGCCATGACGAGCCATGATGAGCCATGCTGAACCATGCCGAGCTGTGATGAGCCATGCCGAGCCATGCTGAGCCACAACGAGCTGTGCCAAGCCGTGCCGAGCCATGATGGGCCGTGCTGAGCTGTGCCAAGCCATGATGAGCCATGCCGAGCCGTGCCAAGCCATGATGAGCCATGCCGAGCCGTGCCGAGCCATGATGAGCCATGCCAAGCTGTGCTGAGCCATGATGAGCCCTGCTGAGCCATGCTGAGCCGTGCCGAACCATGATGAGCCGTGCCGAGCCATGCCGGAAAGCTCCAGGCAGATCATGGGAGCTCGCCGGTGCCCGCGGCAGCTTGCCTTCCCGTGAGATCCTCATTTTCTTCGACGCGGCGATGAGCCTTTAGAACCCGGCGGCTGCATCTCTCCACCGGCTCCCGGCAGCATGGGCCCTGTTTGCGCGGCTAATTTAGCCCTGCGCTCAGCTAATTAAGGACGGAAGGGCAGAGGTGAGGCTGGCCCAGCTGTGCTGTAACCTCTGCCGAGAGGTGCCAGGGTGCCCGCGAGGACTGCAGGGCCAAAGGAGCCAGTTTGGGGAGAGTGGGAGCCACTGGGTACAAGGTGGCCCTGGAGAGGAGGGGTGGGCACTGGTCCCCTCGCTCCCCTCCCCGCTCCCAGCGCCCGGTGCCGGGAGCAGCCAAAAATCGGCATTTCAGCACCTGGGGGGGGGCGTGCAGCTGGGCTGCGAGTTGTGTCACAGGAACTGCCAGTTCCCCCAGTTCCCCAATCCAGCTCCCCCACCCTGACTCCCTGGTTCCCTCAGCTCCCAGTTCTCCCAATTCCATTTGCCCAGTACCCCAGCTCCCACAGCCCATCTCCCCCAGCTCTGCTCCTCGGCTCCCAGTTCTCCCATTCCAGCTCCCCCAGCTCCTCCAGACTAGCTTCCCCAGCCCAGTTCCCCCAGCCCAGTTCTGGCTCCCCCAGCTCCCCCAGCCCAGTTCTGGCTCCCCCAGCTCCCCAGCCCAGTCCCCACAGCCTGGCTCTCCCAGTTCCCCCAGCTGGCCCAGCACCAGGCAGGATTTCCAGGCCTGTAGCTGCCATCTGTCCTATTTTGGGCTCAGTTCTGCCCCCCCTGCTGCTGTGCCTGGCCCCACTGGGGACGTGGGTGCTCCTGCTCCTGAGAGCTGGAATTGCTGGGGGGGGCGGTGGGAGGCGGGGGGAAGCCAGGCTGGGAAAGGCTGCGGGGTGCTGGCACCCACTGCGCTTGCCTGGGGACAGGGTGGGAATAATAATAAAAATAAAACAAAAACAAAAACAACCAAACAGGTTTCAAGAGTGGAGCAGACACTGGGCTGACTGGGAGGGCTGGGTGGAGGGGCACAAGGGGACAGGGCCCCCCCCACAGCAGCCGTGTCCCCAGCCCTGCTGTGACCCACTGGTGACGGCAGCGGGGGTCCCCCACGTGGGTGTTTTCAATGTTGGGATGATCCAAAGCTCCCTCGGTTCTTGTTCCCCGAGGCAGGAGCGGCGGGGGGACACGGAGCCCGGGGATGCAAGGTGCCCCCGTGCCCAAGTGTCCCTGCATGGTGACATACCCCCCCCCCCCCCCCGCACCCCTGTTCTCTGGAGAGGGCCCCGTCCTGGGACATGTGGCACGGGAGGGGGCTCTGGGGGCATGCACCCATGTGCGTGCACGTGTGTGCAGGCAGGGACGTGTGTGTGCACCCATGGGCGTGTGTGCCCATGTCTGTGTGCAGGCAGGGACATGTGTGTGAACCCGTGTGTGTGTGCAGGCAAGGGACATGTATGTGAACCCATCTGCATGTATGTGCAGGCAGGGACATTTGTGTGAACCCATGTGTGTGTATGTGCAGGCAGGGACATATGTGTGAACCTATGTGCATGTATGTGCTGGCAGGGACATGTGTGTGAACCCATGTGCATGTATGTGCAGGCAGGAACATGTGTGTGAACCCGTGTGTGTGTGCAGGCAAGGGACCTGTATGTGAACCTGTGTGTATGTATGTGCAGGCAGGAACATGTGTGTGAACCGGTGTGTGTGTATGTGCAGGCAGGGACATATGTGTGAACCTGTGTGCATGTATGTTCAGGCAGGAACATGTGTCTGAACCCGTGTGTGTGTGCTGGCAAGGGACTTGTATGTGAACCCATGTGCATGTGTGTGCAGGCAGGGACATGTGTGCAAACCTCTGTGTGTGCAGGCAAGGGACATGTATGTGAACCCATGTGCATGTATGTGCAGGCAGGGACATGTGTGTGAACCTGTGTATGCAGGCAAGGGACATGTATGTGAGCCCATGTGTGTGTATGTGCAGGCAAGGGACATGTGTGCACCTGTGTGCGTGTGCAGGCAAGGGACATGTGTGTCCACCCATCTGTGTGTGAAGGCAGGGATGTGCATGTGCACCTGTTTGTGCAGGCAGGGACATGTGTGTGAACCCGTGTGCAGGCAAGGGACATGTGTGTGCACCCGTGTCCATGTGCACCCGTGTCTGTGTACAGGCAGGAACGTGTGTGTGCATCCATGTGCATATACGTGCAGGCAAGGGCCGTGTGTGTGCACCTGTGTGCGTGTGCACCCGTGTGCGTGTGCACCCGTGTCCGTGTGCACACAGGGACATGCATGTGCACCCGTGTGCACGTGCAGGCCGCGTGTGCACTGGCGCGAGCACCGGGGGGGCGGGGGGTGCGTGTGCACAGTGTGGGGTCTGTGCAAGTGCAAGAGGTGGGTGCTGCCCCCCCTCCAAGCTCTCCCGGCCCCTCGCCCAGTGCTCCCAGTGCCCCTCTAGACTCGACCCCTCCCGCTGCTCCCGGTGCCCCCCCCCCCCCGGGTCTCTCCCGCCCCGCCACTGCTCCCGGTGACCCCCCCGAGCTCTCTCTCCTCCCCCCTGGTGCCCCGCTCCCCCCCCCCCCCGTTTCTCCTCCCCCGGTCTCTCCCTCCTCCCCACTGCTCTCGGTGCCCCCCCCCCCCCAAAGCTTTCCCGCCCCCTCGCCCAGGGCTCACAGTGCCCCTTTAGACTCGACCCCCCCCGATGCTCCCGGTGTCCCCCCAGCTCTCTCCTCCCCACCGATGCCCTCCCCCCAGCGTCCCCCCTCCGGTGCCCCCCCCTCCCCGGTCTCTCCCGCCCCCCCCCTTCCCGCGACTCTCCCACTTCTCCCGCCCCAGCTCTCTCTCCTCCCCCCCGGTGCCCCCCCCCCCCCCCCTCCGGTTCCCCACCGCGGTCTCTCCCGCCCCCCCCCCCCCAGCTCTCTCTCCTCCCTCCCGGTGCCCCCCCCCCCCCCCTCCAGTTCCCCACCGCGGTCTCTCCCGCCCCCCCCCCCCCAGCTCTCTCTCCTCCCTCCCGGTGCCCCCCCGTTCTCTCCCCCCTCCCCCTATCTCTCCTGCTCCCGGTGCTCCCCCCACCCCCCCCCTCCCCGGTGCCCCGCCCCTCCCGCGACTCTCCCGGTACCCCCCCCCCAGTCTCGCCCCCCTCCCCCGGTCTCTCCCGCCCCCCGCCCCGCCCCGGCCCCGCCCCGGCCCATCGCGCCCCGCGCCCCGGGCGGTGCCGCGCACCGGGGATGTCGCCGCCGCCGCCGCCGCCGCCGTAGGGGCCGCCGCCACCCGCGGCCACCGGCACCGGCGAAGGGTGGGTGGGTAGCAGTAGTAGTGGGGGGGGGGGGTGTGTCGCGGGGCCATGTCCGGTCGCGACAGCGTCCAGATCCCCGACGACCGGGACTTCGGGGCATTCCGGGCGGAGTGCGAGTCGGAGCGGGGCTGGAGCCTCACCTACAGCAAGGCGGGGGTGGCCGTCTGGGTCCAGCTGCTGGAGCCCGAGCGCTCCCTCCACAAGATCAAGGTGAGGGCACCCCCCCCCCAACCCCCCCCCCAGCATCTGCACCGGCGCTACTGGGGGCACCCAGCGCCCCGGGGTGGGAGTGGGAGGGAGCGGTAACATCCTCGGGGAGCCTGGAGTAAGGTCGGGGTGGGGGGATGTTGGTGAGGATGTGTGAGGGGGGGGGGCTTGGAGGGAAGTGGGGACCCTGGGGTGATGCAGCACCTTGGGGTGAGCAGGGACCCCGGGGGTTAGTGGGGACTTGGGGGGTGAGTGGCACCCTGGGGTGAGCAGGGACCCTGGGGGGCAAGCAGGAGTCCTGTGGCAAGTGGGGACCCAGGGGTGATGTGGCACCCTGGCGCGAGTGGGGACTCGGCCGAGCTGGCACCCTCTTGCAAAAAGGGACCCCAGGACAAGTGGGGACCCAGGGGGAAAGCTGGGACCCCAGGAGAAATGGGGACACTGGGAGGGAGTGGGGACCCCAGGACGAGGAGGACCCCAGGGAGGAGGGGGGTGCGCTGGCACTGCGGGGTGAGCAGGGACAAGTAGGGACCCCTGGGGCTGCACAGGGGTGACAAGGGACTCACCCAGGGACAAGCAGGGACCCTTGGGGGTGGGGGATTGTGGGGCCTCGGTGCTGCTTGTCCCTGCCCCCCCTGCCCTGGGGGGGGGGCTCCTTGGGCCCGCTCTCACCGGGACTGTCCCCAACCGGGCTGTCCCTTGCCCCACCACCCCAAAACGGTTTCCCAGGGGCTCCCCGGGTCCCTCCACATCCCTCAGCGGGTCCCTACCCACCGCGGTACTGGATTGCCGGGCTGGCACGGGGCAGGCGTGTGCTCATCCCACCTTGTGTGTCCGTGTGTCCCGTCCCCCCCCCCGCCAGCACGGTGGGCACAGGGGACCCGGAATGGAAGGGGAAAACTTGGGACAGCACCAGCGTCAGGCTGGGCTTGCCGGTGGCCACGGGCCACCGCGCCACACTGGCCGGCGCTACTGCAAGGGCTGGCACCGGTGTCCCCCACCCCGCCGGCGCGGTCCCCAGGGCCGGGGAGTCGTGTCACCGTCACGGGCCGTGCCGGGGCTCGGCGGTGACGCGGCCTGCTCGCCCCGCCGCGCTGCAGCAGCGCCGGGGTAACCCGTGTGTGTGTGTGTTTGTGTGTGTTGTGTGTCCCCCGGGGTGCTGGCACCGGCGGTGGCACCGGCTCCCCCCTGGGAAGCTGCCTCCGTTTGCTGTCCCCGGCATGGCAGAGCCGTGGGGTTTGGTGTCTTTTTGGGGCCGCCGTCACCCGAAGTGGGGGGGGGGGGACACACACAAGTCCCCGCCGTGCCCCGGTGGCAGTGCCTGCCGTAGCAGCGAGCCCTGTGGTGGGGGACACACACACACACGACAGACATGCGCACACAGGGGACACCCCCCCCCCCCCCAAGCCCTGTCGCTTGCTCTTGGGGTGTTGCTGCATCCCCCAAAAAAATCTCTGGGGGTGCAGCTTGTGGAGCCGTTTGGGTGCAAGCACGCGGTGGGGAGGACACGGGGCCGGGGGGGGCTTGTCCCTGCCTGTCCCCACAATCCCAAAGTGCCACGTCTGCCCGCAGCCATTGACGATGTCCTGGTCCCCCCCACGGGACCCCTCACCCCTGTGAGGGGGGGTCCCCAAAACCACGTTGATAACCTGCGGGTGCTGAGCAGCACCCAGGCAGGTATCGGGGAGCGAGGGAGGAGGGGGGGGGGGCCCGGCGGGATGGGCACCCGCCCCAGCACACGTGGCATCGCCAACGTGGCACGGCCACGCTGTGGCTCCCCGGGGAGGGGGGGCTGGGGGGCTCCTATTATGCTTGGCACCGTGTGTGTGTGTGTCCCCCCATCCAAGAGCGCTTTTCCTCGCAGTTTACTCCTTGGCTTTCTCCTTCTTGCTCCTGCTTGTTAATTAACTGAGAGGTGAAGGTCTCGCCCCCATGGTGGCCCCCCCTCCCAGGCCCCCCCCCCCCCCCCCCAGCCGCCTTTCCTCCCATTAGGGATGCAGCTCTCGTCTAACCTGTTTTCTAGAGTCTGGAAACAAGTTTGTACCACCGGGACCTGACACAACCCCAGGGCTGATTCACCGGGATTCAGTGGCCTCGGGGTTGCCCCCGATGGCTGCGGGATGGGGGGAGCCCAGCTGGGACACCCCCCCCCCCCCTTTTCATTCCCCGCCCCAGGAGATGCTGCCCCTGGGAATGGGCTACTCCGAAAGGACGGCCAGGAGCCACCCCGTGGGATGCATCTGGGGGGCGGGGGGGGGGGCCTGGAGCTTTACTGGAGCCACTGGGACACGTGTGGTGCCCGGACCCCGGCTCCCGCTCGTTATTTATTCATGGGGTCACCTTGAGACGCGGCGCCCGGTTGCTAATGATCGCGCCGAACATCTGGGCCACAGGGGAGATCTTCTCTTTAATTAATGACCCACGTGGCCGTGGCTACTGGTGCTGCCTGCATGGGGGGCCTGGCACCCCCCGGAGCAGGGGGGGGACCCCGCCAGCAAATCCGAGCAGCATCACCCCCTCCCCCCCCTCCCCGAGGATGTGGGGCAGAGGGTCGAGGTGACCCCCAGGGGAGTTTTTATCCATCCCTGGGGTCCCCAGCCACCTGCGTGGCTGCTGTGAGCGTGTCCCCAAGGTAGTCACAGCCCCCGCAGGTGTGGGTGGGGGGGGGTGTGGGGGGGGTCCCCCTTAGTTCTGCTCCTGTCCCACAGCCCCAGCACAGTGCTGGTGTGGGCACAGGCAGCCCCCACCCAGAGCTGCCCCCCCTCTCTGCACAACCCCAGGGACAGAGCCTGGCACGGATGGCCCTTGTCACCCATCGCATTCACCTCCCTCTTCTTGGCCTTCCTTCCTCCTCCTCCTCCTCCTCCTCCTCCTCCTCCTCCTCCTCCTCCTCCTCCTCCTCCTCCTCCTCCTCCTCCTCCTCCTCGCCCCATAGAGTCAATATTGACTCAGGGCTGGGGCCTCTGCACTGGGTGCTTCCCGGCTGGCACCGTCCCCTCTCCTGGGGGACCCCCCCAGCCTTACCCCGAGCCCCCGCCCCTCGGCACCCCGCGGGGACATGAGTCACCCACGGGTGGCACGCAGCCAGCGTGGGCAGGTCCTGAGTCACCCGGCTGGTCCTGCCCGCGTGGGCACGTCTCGGCCGACCTGCCTCGCCGCACTGGGAATAAACGGGAGCGGCGGCAGCGGCGCCCAGCATGGTGCTGGGGGGGTGTCAGGGGGCGGGGGGGTCCCCAAGAGTGTCGCCCAGGGCTGTGCCCCCCGAAGCCGCTTTGCCAGGCTTGTCCCCTGTTTTCGGCTGCCCGGGGGCTCACGTGGCGGAATTGCGATGGAAGGCGCATGGGGGGATGAGCGGCCGTGCACGCCGTGGGGCTGGGGACGGGCTCCGTGGGCTGGGGACAGGCTCCGTGGAATTGGGGACAGACTCTGTGGGGTTGGGGGTGGGAGCAGGGACAGGCTCCACGAAGCAGGGACATGTTCCATGAGCTTGGGGACGGACTCTGTGGAATTGCGGACAGACTCCGTGGCACTGGGGACAGGCTCCGTGGAATTGGGGGCAGATTCTGTGGGGTTGGGGATGAGCTCCAGGGGGTTGGGGACAGACTCCGTGGGGTTGGGGATGGTCTCAATGGGTTGGGGACAGACTCTGTGGGGTTGGAGATGACTCTGTGGGGTTGGGGACGGGCTCGGTGGGGTTGGGGACAGACTCTGTGGAATTAGGGACAGGCTTCGTGGGGTTGGGGTCAGACTCCGTGGGGTTGGGGACAGATTCTGTGGGGTTGGGGATGAGGTCCATGGGGTTGGGAGCAGGTCTGTGGGGTTGGGGATGAGCTCCGTGGGGTTGGGAGCAGGTCTGTGGGGTTGGGGATGAGCTCCGTGGGGTTGGGAACAGACTCTGTGGGGTTGGGGACAGGATCCATGGGGTTGGGGCTGGGCTCTGTGGGGTTGGGGACAGGCTCCATGGGTGGCAGCTTTGGCTCTGCGAGCAGCAGCCCTGCCCCACTCGAGGGGTCGGGCGCCGGGATGTGCCACGGTGCCAGGCGCTGCCATTCCCCTTGCCGGGGTCGGGGGGGGGTCTCCGGCAAGGACCCGAAATCCCTAAACCTGCTCCCAAAGGAAGGGCTGGCGGCTCCCTCCGCCGGAGGGGCCTGGGGGGGGCCAGAGCCATCCTCAGGGATGGAGCAGGAGCCGGTGGCAGGGTTGTTTGGCGGGGTGGGGGGGGGATGCTGGTACCCGGCTGCGAGGTGCGGGGGTACGTGCGTTTCCCGGGGTGCAGGAGCAGCATCCCCAGGGCCCGGCTCCGGCCGCCCTTGGCCAGCATTTGGGGGAGGATGGCGGCTTCTCCTGCCTTTTTCTCCTGGTTTTCCCAAGGATTTTGCCGCCGTGGTTACCGGAGCTTTTGGGGGAAACCAGTGATGGAGGGGGGAGAGGCGAGGTGGGGAGGTGCCCCCCTTTGCCCCCCCCAAAGATCCCCCCAGGATCCGGGGCTCAGCTCCGTCCTGCCTCAGGGTGTGCCCAGGCTACAAGGTGGCTCTGGGTGGCAAACTGGGCCAGACTGGGCTGAGCTACTGGTTGAGATCGAGCTCCTCTTGGGAGTGGGGGGGTGGGGTGGGGGGGGGGTGCGTTGGTTTTTAGGGAACCTTCGAGGTGTCCCCATGGCCACCTTTTCCCCCAGGATCCCCGCAGCTGCCCTCCCCCTCGGGGTTTCCCCACAGCCACCCTGTCCCCCAGTGTCCCCACTGCCACTCTCCCACCCCGGGGGTCCCCACAGCCCCCCCCCCCCCCTCCTGGGGCAGTTTCTCAGCTGCTCCCCCCTGCAGTGCAGGATGGAGTGCAAGGACGTGCCGGCGGAGACGCTCTACGACGTGCTGCATGACATCGACTATCGGAAAAAGTGGGACACCAACGTCATCGAGACCTTTGACATCGGGAAGCTGACCGTCAACTCCGACGTGGGCTACTATGCCTGTGAGGAGGGGGCCGGGGGGGCGGGGGGGGATGTCCCAGGGGGGGGTGCTGAGCCCTGGGGCTGTCGCAGCAGCATCCTCAGGTTCAGCATCCAGGTAATGGCTGGTCATTGCTGGGAGGAGCCCAGAAACCAGTTCAGGAGGGATTTGGGGGGCAGGTTTGGACCCCCAGAGGGGGATGCCTGTGCTGGGGGGGGGGGAAGGGGGGGGTCTCACCGTGGTCCCCCACTACTGTTTTCCCCAGGGAAGTGCCCCAAGCCCCTGAAGAACCGGGATGTCATCACGCTGCGTTCCTGGCTGCCCATGGGCACCGACTACATCATCATGAACTACTCCGTCAAGCACCCCGTGAGTCCCCAGGGGGGGGCTGGGGGGGTTGAAGGGGGCCCCCCCGCGCCAGGATGGGGCTGCGTTTATTTGTCATAGCTCGGGGTGGGGTGGGGGAGGTTCAGGCTGGAGGCATCGGGGGGGTTTTGGGGCTCAGGGCAGCCCTGCTTGCAGTCGGTGCTTGCCTGTACCCCATCCCGCCACCGACCTGTCCCTGTCCGTGTGTGTGTCCCCCCCCCTCGCTGTGTGTGTCCCCCCCTCCCCTGCAGAAATACCCCCCCCGCAAGGACATGGTGCGAGCGGTCTCCATCCAGACGGGCTACCTGATCGAAGGGACGGGAGCCAAGAGCTGCACCATCACCTACCTGGCCCAGGTGGACCCCAAAGGTCGGGGAGGGGGGGACAGACAGACGGACGGACACCCCCATTCCTGCACCCCGGGGCTCTCAGCCCACCCAGGGCTGCCCGAGGTTGAGAAATCGGGCTGGATGTTTCCCAGGAACGGGACGGGGGTGGGCTCGGGGACAGGCAGCAGCAGGCAGGGAGGTGGCCGGGAGCATCTCGAACAGCCACCAGAGCCAGACCAGGGGCACTGCAGAAAAAATTTTGACCCGGTTCCCTTGAAAAATCTCTTTTTTTTGGGGGGGGGGGAGAGGGGGGGGTAGAAGAGCTGGCCAAAATGCTGCAACAGCTTTTTTTTTTTTTTTTTTTTTTAAAACTCAGCAAGAAGCTGAGTGGGTTGAACCCCGATTTCCCAGCACTGTCCCCGTCTCCCCTCTCCAGGCGGGTGTCCCCAAGCCCTCCCGTCCCCGAGGCGGGTGAGTTGGGGGTCCCGTGGGGGGGCTGGTGCTGGTTCCAGCCCGACTCCTTTTATCTCGCAGGTTCCCTGCCCAAGTGGGTGGTGAATAAATCCTCACAGTTCCTGGCCCCCAAGGTGAGTCGACCGCAGCGGCGAGTGTCCCCCCGGGGTGGTGAGATGGGGAATGGGGGGGGGGGGGTGGAGGGCTGAGGGCTTTTCCCCCGCCTCGCCTCCACCCTCGCCCTTCCTCCCAGGCGATGAAGAAGATGTACAAGGCTTGCCTGAAGTACCCGGAGTGGAAGCTGAAGCACAACCCGCACTTCAAGCCCTGGCTGTTCCCGGAGCAGAGCCGGCTGCCGGCGGTGCCGCTCGCCGAGCTCTCCCTGCAGCACGCCGACTCCCTGGAGAACATCGACGAGAGCTCCTTGGCCGAGACCAAAGACGACCGCGGCGAGGCCAGCGACGAGGACAGCGTTAATTAACACCCCACCCCCCGGGGGATATTTTGTCCCTGTGACACCCCCCACCCCCCCCCCAGCTCCCCGCTGTCCCCCTCCCAGCCCCCCCCCCCCGACGCGGTTTGGGGCTCTCTCACGCGTGTGTGTGCGCTCACACTTTCTGGTTTGAAGGGATGGGGGGGGGACGGGACACCCCGGTGCTGCCATCCCGCCCTCCCCTCATCGCTTGGGGGGGGGGGTTAGCGGGGGCGGATAGCTGAGACACACACCCCCCCCCCGCCCCCCAACTGGGAGCCGCCACACCCCCGGGGTGGGAAGTTGGGGGGTGTCCGGTTCTTTCGCAGCCACCGCAGGACACTGATGTCCCCATCGGTGACAAACCCAAAGTGCCCTTCAGCTCTCACCCTCGGGGGGGGGGGGGGCAAAAATGAAATTGGGGGACCCCGCCCCGGCTCCCCAGCCCTGAGGGTACCCCCACGCTCCCCCTCTGCTCCGCTGTCCCTCCTCTTCATCACTTCTGTTACTGACAACTGCCTTCCTCCCGCGGGACCCCCAGCCTGAGTGGACCCCCAGGGTGGGGGGGCTTGGGGGGGGGGGTGTTCTGTGGCACCCCCAGGCATGTTGAGGCGGGGGGGCGGGGTGTGTGGTGTGTGTGTTTTTGGGGTCTTGCAGCATCTCCAGGCATGCGGGGGGGGGGGGGGGGGGGTGGGGGGGTGCTCCTGGCTTGTCCAAGCATGCGGGGGGGGGTGCTTGCAGGGTCCCGGCACCTCCAGGCATGTTCGGGGCGGGGGTGTGTGTCTTTTTTTTTGGGTCTTACAGCACCCCCAGGCATGCGGGGGGGGGCGGGTTTGGCATGTCCCTGGCACCTCCAGATGTGCTGGGGGGTGGGGTCTTGGGGGCTCCCGGCACCTCCATGGATGTTGGGGAGACCTTGGGGGGGGACGCTCCCAACACCTCCATGCATGTTGGGGGAACTTGGGGGGCTCTCAACACCTCCAGGTGTGCTGGGGGGTCTTGGGAACCTTCTCAGCATCTTCAGGTGTGTTGGGGGGGGGGGGGAAGCGCTCAGCACCTCCAGATATTCTGCGGGGACTCTGAGCATCTCCAGATGTTCTGGGGGTCACTGGGGGCTCCCAGCACCTTCAGGTACTTTGGGGGGACTTGGGGGGGGTCTGCCAGCACCTCCAAGCGTGTTGAGGGGGGGGGGTTCCTGCACACCCCCCCCTTTTTTCCAGGCGAGGGGCCCCGAGCTTGGTGTGTGAACACTTTCTATGTTAGAATTAGAGGCCTTGAATCGGGATTTTGGAGCTGTTCCTTGGCCGTGCTCCCCCCTGCATCCCCCCCCCCCCCCCGCTTTGCCGGGTGGGGGTGGGTAGGCGAGGGGAGGAAGGAGATTTTGTACCTTGTACTGGAGCTGATTATTTAGGAATAAAACAAATAAATCCAGTGCCGGGGGGGTGACTTGGCCTCTCTGTCCTGTCCCAGTCCCCAGTTTGGGGGGGGGGGGGGGGGGGGCCATGGGGGTCCCCAACTGCCCTTGGGGTCATGGTTATGGGGTCCCTGGGCTGATCCCCTGGAGCCAGCGTGGGCTTTGGCCCAGGGGGGGCCCCTGGTGCCAGAGAAACCCCTAAACCCAATTAGCACTGGGCACCAATCAGGGGCAAGCCAGACCAGTAACACCTGTATTGCCTGTCAAACACCCCACTGGGGGCACAACCCCCCCTCCCCCCAGAAACACCTCTGGGAGAGGAGGTGGCGGGGGGGGGGGCTCTATTTGGGGGTACATCCTTGTTTTCTCCAGCGTTTCTCCATCACTGCAAGGAGGCTGGAAAGGCCTCAAAATGGGGCTAAAAAAATATAATTTAGGGGGTGTCCCTGCAGGGCCAGGGGCTGCTGGGGGAGGGGGGGGGTGGGCTGAGCCCTGTGGGGGGGTCCCCGGGGTCCGGTGGGCCCCACGCTCTAGCTCCAGGGAGGATGTGATATCCCCGAGGCCTTCATCCTCCTCCTCCTCCTCCCGCTGCTATTCGCCAGGAAACCTAAAAACTCTGTGTGTGTGTGTGTGTGTGTGTGTGTCCCAGCACGGCCCCCCCTCCCTGGGCTGCCGGCCCCCCCCCGGACCGTGGATGGGGGTGGGACATCCCGCGCGTGGGGAGCGAGGAAGAAGAGGATGAGGATGGTGGGGGTCCTCGGGGGGGGTGTGTGTGTCCCTCGGCGGGCGGCCGGGCCGGGCTTTGCAAGGGCCGATCTTTATTTATTTAATTATGGGAAGGGTTTTTCCCTTCCCCCCCCCACCGCCCCCTCCACTCGTGTGTGTGTGTGTGTGTGTGTCCCGCCGCGCCCCCCCCCGTGCCCAGACCGGAGCCGCTGCCGGAGCACGAAGCCGCCCGGACAGGTCAGAGCGGGGCGAGGGGGGGACACACACACACCCCGGGGGGGACACACACACACACCACTTCTAGGCGTGCAGCCAGCCCCGGCACTTCGGGGGGGGGGGGGGGTTTGCACCGAGGGTGTCCCTTTACACTCCCCCCCCCCCCCCTTTTTCCTTCACCCCCGGCTTTCCGCGATGGCTGCGTGTCCGGGGGGGGGGGGCGGGGAGTGATGCACCCCAATTCCAGGCGTGACCCCGTGTTGCCGTCACCCGTGGGACCGGGGTGGGCACGGGACACACACACGCACGTTTCCGATTTCACCCCGTTCATTTATACCCGCCGCATTTTTCACCTCCCCCCCCCCCCCCCCGGCCGCCCCCGCTGTTCTCCCGAACCGGCATTAAAAATAGGACCCAATTAAAAAAAATGGAGCCGGGCGCCGCTCCACCCCTGCGCGGGGCAAACCGGAGCCAAACCGGAGTGTGGGGGACACACACACACACGCGGGGGGGGGGGGGGGGGGTTGCAGATCACGGGGGGCCAAACCCCTCAGAGGGGGGGGTTCGGCAAGAGCCGGGGGCTCAGGTAGGCTGCGGGCTGGGCGGGGGGGGGGGGGGGAGCTTTTTTGGGGTGCTGGGGTGGGTCTGTCCCGCTGCTGGCTGGGGGTGGGGGGCATTAGTAACACCCCCCCCACCCCGTCTCGGTGCTACTGGGAGGGGCGTTGCTGCGGGTCCCCTGGGGCCTCAGGGTGCCCTTCGTGCCACCTCCGTGCCCTCATTTGGGCTGAAGGTTTTGGGAGGGGGGGGGGTCTCACCCGGGGGGTCCCACCCCGGGGAGAGGGGGGGGGGGGAGTGGGGAAGTGCGGGGGGGGCTGCAAGCAGCAGGAGTGCTTTGTTTTGGGGGAGAGGGGTATCGGACCGGACCCCCCCCCCCCCCCCCCAAGGGCATCATGACCTGAACGCGGGTCCGAGCCCGGTGCGTGGGCCGGTGGGTGCTGCTGTGCCCGACCCCCCCGCACCCGGGGCACGGCCTCGCGTGGGCGGGGGTGTCCGTGTGTCCGTGTGTGTGTGTGTCCCCGCCTCCCCCGGGAGCAGGCGGCCAGCGTGTCCCCGTCCCCGAGCCGCTCTGCGGGATGAAAGGAGCATTGTCCGGCCCGCCGGAGTGCACCCCGCCGCCACCGGGGCGGGGGGCCGCGGGGGGGGGCCGCGGGAACCTCACGTCTGCCCCCCCCGCACCCCCAAACCATCCCGCTTCGGCTTTTTCCCCTGGGAAACTGGGTGGGGAGGAAAAAAAAAGGGAAAATCAACCCCTTCTTTTATTTTTTATTTGATACTTGTTATATTTTTAATTTTTCTTTTATTTTATTTTTTATTTTATTTTTTACTTTTTAAATTATTTTTACATTTTAAATTATTTTTAATGTCTTGTTTTTAAATGTTTACTTGTTTATTTTTGGTTTTTTATATATATTTTTTACTTTTTTATTTGAAAATTTTAATTTATTTTTACTTTTATTTTTGTTTTTATACATTTTTCATCTTTTACTTTTTTGCTTTTTTTATTTTAAATTTTTTATTTTGTTTTAAAATTTTCTATATTTTTCTATAGGTTTATTTTTAGTTTTATTTTTTAATATTTTATTTTTAAGTTTTAAAACTTTTTTTTTTTTTTTTTACTTTTTCACTTTTTTATTGGTAAATTTTGTTTGTTCGTTTGTTTTGGGTTTTTTTTTGGTGGGGATGGAAAGTTCCCCTGGTTTTCCCCTTGGCTTCCATTTCCCTGGGGCTGCCAGAGCTCGGTGCGGGAACACACCCGGGCCCGGCAGAGCTGCCGCTGGGGCTGAGGGGGGGCTGGTGGGGGGGACCCCTGTTCCCCCCTCCGGGAATCACCCCCCCGCCAAACCGAGGGGCTTGGTGCTCCTCACCGCGCTGTGCTCTCTGCGGGGGGGGGCAATGGTGGCCGGGGGGAGTTGGGGGTGCAAACCCTGCCCGGGAGGGGACACACACCCCCTAACTCCGCGGCTGGGGGTTTCTCGGGGGACGCAGAGCTGCTGTGAAAGGGGAGGTGGGGGGGGCAGCTTGCACCCCTGATCCAAAACTGCTCAGGACTGAGGCCCCCCCCCCCCCCCCCCCCCCCCGGCTGGATGCACCCCCAGCACAGCCCAGTTCAGCCCCAGTACTCCCCAGCTCAATTCCAGAATGTCACGGCTCCCTCCCCAGCAGACCCCAACTCAATCCCAGCTCAATCCCAGCTCAATCCCAGCTCAATCCCAGATCAATCCCAGATCAATCCCAATACTCCTCAGCTCAATTCCAGTACTCCCCAGCTCAATTCCAGAATGTCACCGCTCCCTCCCCAGCAGACCCCAGCTCAACTCCAGTTCACCCCAGCTCAACCCCAGTACTCCCCAACTCAATTCCAGCACGCCCCAACTCAATCCCAGCTCAATCCCAGCTCAATTCCAGTACTCCCCAGCTCAATCCCAGCTCAATCCCAGCTCAATCCCAATACTCCCCAGCTCAATCCCAGCTCAATCCCAGCTCAATCCCAATAATCCCCAACTCAATCCCAGCTCAATCCCATCTCAACCCCAGTACTCCCCAGCTCAATTCCAGTACGCCCCAACTCAATCCCAGTTCAATCCCAGTACTCCCCAACTCAATCCCAGCTCAATCCCAGCTCAATCCCAGTACTCCCCAACTCAATTCCAGCACGCCCCAACTCAATCCCAGCTCAATCCCAATACTCCCCAGCTCAGTTCCAGCACGCCCCAACTCAATCCCAACTCAATCCCAGCTCAATCCCAATACTCCCCAGCTCAGTTCCAGTACGCCCCAACTCAATCCCAGCTCAATCCCAGCTCAATCCCAATAATCCCCAACTCAATCCCAGCTCAATCCCAATACTCCCCAGCTCAGTTCCAGCACGCCCCAACTCAATCCCAGCTCAATCCCAGATCAATCCCAATACTCCCCAGCTCAATCCCAGCTCAATCCCATCTCAACCCCAGTATTCCCCAGCTCAATTCCACTATACCCCAGCTCCCCCCAACACACCCCAGCTCATTCCCAGCTCAACCCCAGTCTCCTGGGGGTCCCAGCTGTGCCGACAGCCCCATCCCCGTTGCGGGGGGGACACAGCGAGGTGCAGCAATCCCCCTGCCCCCCCCCCCCGGTCTCATCGCTTGGTGGGTTGAGGGACATGCCCAGGGCCACCGGTGCGGCGGTGGCAGAGCAGGTGCCGGAGGGATCAATCCCAGGGAGGATGGGGTGTGGGGGGGTAGCAAGGTGGGGGGGGGGGAAGCAGGACCCCCAGTGCCTGGCTGGCAGATTTGGCAGATTTATTTTCTTTTTGGGCAACGGCTCGGCGTGGCCCAGTTCGCAGCCAAACAACGCCGGCAGCTGCGGCTCTGCCGGGATCCCTGCCAAACGCCGGGGTGATGCCGCCGGTGGCTTTCTCTCGCCTTCCTCCTCCTCCTCCGCCGCCTCCTCCTCCTCCTCCTCCTCCTCCTCCTCCTCCTCCTCCTCCTCACCGCGTCCCGGTACGGCTGGCATGGCCTGAAAAATTATTCCAGCCCAGTCTGCCGGTGCCACGCGGTTGGAACCGGGACGGCCGCTGCTTCGTCCTCCGGTAACATCCGACCTGGCTCCTCGTGTCCCTTCACCGCTGCCACGTCCCCGGGACCACCGGGACGATGCTGGGGTGGGGTGTGCGGGGCCGGGGGGGTGCTGTGCCTGCATGTGGGGGGTGTGTGTGTGTTGGGGGTTCTGCAAGGTTTCAGCATTGCTGCCAGGGTTGTAATTTTTAATTTGCGGCATTCACGCCTCCCTAAAAACAAAACAAAACTGCCTTTGAAGGTGTGGGTGGCAGATGTGGGTGCTGGGGGGAGGTGGGGTCTGGGGGGGTCACCAGCAGCTCCCACCGGGGAGGAAGCTGAGAAAAACCCCTCCAAGAGCTGCTGGTTGTTTTTTGGGGGTGCTCCCTTCTGCGGAGGTGACTGCTGGGGCCGAGCTGTTAGGGGATAGCGGGACGGGGATATTTATAGCAATTTTGGGGTTTTGCGTCCCTCCATGCTCCTTGTCCCCTGTGTGTGTGTGTGTGTGTGTGTGTCCCAAAAGCAGGTCGTTTGCTGCCAAAACAAAGAACCCTCCAAGGGGGTGAGCTCTGAGTATTTTGGGGGTGTCTGGGGGGAGCCAGGGAGGGATGCTCTCCTCGGGCAGGGTGGCACGTCCAGCCCCATCCCAAAGCCAGGCGAGAGCTGGTGGGTGCCAGGTATTTTTACCACCCTGTTCCCCCCCCACACTCGGCAAATTGAGTTCTGTCCCACCTTCGTGGGTGCCATCACCAGGGGCGTTGGGTGCCCCCCACGGCTGGCGGGGTGTTAGTGCTCGGGGAAGTTTTGCAGAGGGATTTGAGGTGTTAAATAATTGAAATGCAGAGCGAAGACCCTCCATAGCAGCAGGTGAAATTTGGGGTGTGTGTGTGTGTGTGTGGGGGTGGTTATCACTTGCCCACCCCCCCAACCCCTCCAGCCTGCTTTGCTGCCCGTGGCACGGCGTGAGCGTCACGCTTGAGGCGAAAAAAAAATAATAAGTTAAAATTAATTCCGGGCTTCCCGCCTGGTGGGGGCAGGTTAGAAAGTGCTGCTGTGCCCCCGCCCCCCCCCCCTCCCCCCTCCGTCGGCATGGCCTTCCTCCTCCTCCTCTTCCTCCTCCTCCTCCTGCCTGTGCTGTCGGGTGATGCCACCCTGGTTTGGGGCACCCAGTGAGTGGCTGGGGCTTGGACACCCCAAATCTGCAGGTGATATGGGGGGGCTGTGCGGAAAGGCTTTGGCAAAGGTGGGGGGACATGCGGTTGGGGGGTACCTGCTGTGTGTGTGTGTGTGTGTGTGTCCGGTAGCATCCGCACGCCACCGTCGGGGTCTGTCCTTGCTGGGTGATGCTGTGGTGGCTGGGGGTGCTTGGGGGGGGGGGTTTAGGGGGGGAACATGGCCAGGGATGGGGTGGGACTCGGCCCTGGG